CATTCCACAGATAGTCCTTTTCTCACCTCTCTGCAGTAGCTTGCTAATCTGGGAGCATAAATCAGAGACAGCTGATAAGGTTGTAGACACCAAGATATCCTGTCTCCCATTCAGTTTCCCTAATCATCCTGCAAGCCACCAAATGGCTTCAGATTTGGGAGTTTTGAAAACAACTCTCCTCATTTTAAAATATATATACATTTCAGTTTCCTCCACATAACACCAGCAATTACAGAAACAGCTGTTTCTGATTTCATAGTGATTTTTCCCCAGCACGCACATCCTTGTGACTGGCTTTTGTTTTCATTCTCACAAGACAAGGCATAGAGACTTGCACTTTTTTCTCCTTCCCACAGCTCCTCTTTCTCTCCAGTTTCAACGTTGTGCTTCACATAGGCTCTGTCCATGGATTTTCTTAAAGGAAACTATTCTATATTTGTATTTATGAAGAATTATCCTCTATTTTTCAGCCAACACCACACATCCTGGTGCCTTGACCATACTGAAACTTGCTCATTTTTAATTTTACAGATTGATGAAAAGCTGCTAAAATGAGAGGAAGATTTTCTATCGTCAGTCAGAATCAGCATGAGAGCAGTCTGCTCTTGAAAGCCTGTAGCTCCGATTGTTCAAAAACATACTGTTCACCATGTCAATTCAATCATGTGGGTAAGATATTAAAAGATCAGGCTCTAAGTGTACAAATCCTGTTGAGATCTGACAAGGTTCTTTTCATAAATGTGAATGAGGGCCAATTTCATGGCAATTGTTACCTCCCATGTACTCTTATTTCTTCAAACTATCACTTGTCTTTCTTTTTATGTGCCAATAATCAATTTGTAAAGCATAAATCGTAAAGCTTACCTGGTTTTTGATTATGCTACAGCCTATGATTTTACATTTAAACCATTTTCTTTCTTTGATAACTGACATTCAGTTTCCATTTTATCACCCTATTTGTCTTTGAACAAATAAAAATCACCTTTTCGCAAGGATTAAAATTTCACCTATTATTTACTTAGAACTGCACCATCACAGCAAAGTTAATCAGAAATGCAAACAAGAAGCTCAGCCTGTACATCATGTTCTGCCATACATCAAGCGGCAATCCCATTTCAGCATTATCACATACAACCTGCAAACATATGCTAAAGAGAAAAAAATAGAACAGCAACAACAACAAAAAACACACCCCCAAAAGGTTATTTGACTTGCATTCTGTGTGAATTCAAACTGGACACAAGAATCAGGTCCCTGTTGATTAGGTATGAAAAGAGAACAAAATTTCTTGGGAGACACTGGTTTCTCCAGAGACAGCAGACACACGTTTGAGAGTTTCTTGCAGCTCTAGGATGCACAGGTAGGTACAGTCACACACATGCACTCCGAGCTGTGTACAGACGCTAGCCGCAACCTGGAAGCCACACAGTAACTTTAGCGCAGTGCTTTGCTCATGAAATAAGGTACACTGAGGCAGGGGAGATCACTTTAGGCTCACTGCCATGCAAATGAGTTTGTTCAGCTTTCCAACCAGACCAGCTGAGGGTCTGGACTGGAAACAAGAGGAACACACTGGGCTGCCTGCAGCCATCCATTCAGAGTGACCTCTTCGGCTGGAGTCAGTCTGTCTCAGTGTTGGGGTTCATTTGATTCTGAAAGCCCACCAGCCTAACCACTTGAAAGACGCATTAGTCATGTAAACATCTCCACTTCACATATATGGAAAAGAAACATGAAGAGTTTTTACAGAAAGTTTTCTACTACGAGTCACGGTAAGGTCACAAGCTGACACTCATTTGTTACCAGGGTCTCAGGAAGTTAAAATAATAATTCCTCATTGGGTAATCTTTTCATTTCATATAAAGAGTCTGCATCATGTGACTATTTGTGAAAAAACAATTTATTTCTTCTTAGTAAGAACATAACAGCTGATGATCTCAGCACAAGCGACCCAAGACATGATCTTCAACTGACAGCACAGCCTTAACATTTCTCTGCTATCTTTTATAACAACCTCTTGGAAGCATAAACCATGGCTGCTTTTTCCTTTTTTTGTCTCCTACAGACATCTACTTCTAAGGATATGAACAGACTCAAACAGTAATCGAGGAACTGTACAATGATCTCAAAGGACCCTTAAAACATTTTCCCTAGTCATAGCCTGTCCTCGCCTCCTGATGACACTTCCTCCCATTTAAAAGCTTGCCTTGCTGCTTCGAATTCCAGATTTCAGGACCAATCTTTTCCAATGGCTAACGGTGCTGAAGAACACTTAAGAAATCCAACCAGAGACTGAAATGTGTGTGTATTTTACATGACAGTATCTTGTTCATCAAAAAGAGAAAAAGGAAAAAAGGCTGGCGATAGTGAAGTGTCTTCACTTGATTTCCCACAGGAGGTTCACTAATGCCCTGAATGACCTGCACAGATTTGCTGCTCCCAGACCAACATCCCAGCTGTGCAGAAGAAACACATTCCCTCTCAACTTCAGAGGAGGGTGCCTGGACAAAGGCGATGACGTCTGTATGCCAGGACATAAGAAGAAAGCCTTCTGTGGTGTTATTTATTTTAGCAACAGGCCCTGGCAACAGTTAGACTCCGTGGTGATAACAA